GACTCCATCACTTTATCCCCCCCCTCCGGGGGGGAGGGCACCCCACACGCGGGTGTCCCCCCCCCACCCATGGGTGCCCCCACGGTCACTTGCGGCGCAGGTAGAAGGCGGTGATGGAAGGAGGGGGGGCCACGCTCAGGGCCTCCCCTGGGCCCGGGGCTGTGCTGAGGAAGCGCCCGGGGAAGGCGGCCGACTCGAAGGTGTGCGTGGTGCCACCAAAGGTCTTGTAGAAGGTGTAGGGGGTGGCCTCGGCCCCCCGCGAGAACAGGTCCAGCAGCCCCACCTCCTGTAACGGGCAGTGGCACCGCTGGGACACGGACCTGGGTGGCACCGACCCCGGGCAGCCTCCAGGTGATGCCATCATGGGGGGATGGCACGCTGGGAACCCCCACCTCCAGGTGACACTGCCTCAAGGTGCCACCACCCTGGGGAACCCCAACCTCCAGGTGATGCCATCAGGGAGTGATGCCATCCCAGGGAACCCCCACCTCCAGGTGATGCCATCAGGGAGTGATGCCATCCCAGGGAACTCCCACCTCCGGGTGACACCATTTTGGAATGACACCAGCTTAGGGTGCCTCCACTTTGGGTTGCCCACCCTAGGTTGCCCATCTCTGGGTGCCAAACAACCAGGGTGCCCCTACCTTGGGTTTCCCACCTTGGGTTGCCTGCCTTGGGGCTGATCCACCTCGGGCTGACCCACCTCTGCACATCCACCACCCTAGGGTGCCCCCACCTTGAGTTGTCCACCTTGGGTTGACCCACCTTGCAACTCTCCACCTCTGGGTGCCCCCACCTCAGGTTGCCTGCCTTGGGTTGACCACCTCTGCACATCCACCACCCCAGAGTGCCACCACCTTGAGCTGTCCACCTTGAGCTGTCCCACCTCTAGACATCTACCACCCCAGCGTGCCCCCACCTTGAGTTGTCTACCTTGGGTTGCCCCACCTCTGGGTGCTCCCACCTAGGGCTGCTGATGTTGGGCTGCTGCACCTGTGGGTGCCCTCCACCCTGGGCCACCACCCCCTGCCATGATGTCCCCCACGCTCACCTCCAGCTTCAGCTGGGGCTCGGGACCGGTGCCGCAGGAGAGGGCCAGGGTGGCACCACGGAC